CTGAAAGTTTCGTTTGTATTGTAAACTTTTTTTGCTTCCCCAAAATTACGTCACAAAGTAAAACCGGCCGGACCAAGGACCACATACTGCACACGTGATCCGTGATCAATCTGTAACGCTCTATGTACTGTTTTCTCTGATAGTCTTGAAGAGCCGGAGAAGACTTCATTAGTAAAAAAGGTGGACGAGCCCATCAGGACGCCAAGAATGGAAATATCAGAAACGAACAAAATGCGTTTGTAAGTGCCCTACTGACAGTCATCAATAGTGACTTTAAAATATGACTACGAACATGAAACTTTGGAGACTCTTATTCATTCCCAAGATCGACTGTCTCAAGAACACAGAAATATTGCAACTATGCTAGGGTTTGAGGCTTAGATGCAAGAACGCTTCGTTTCAGTCCACACCTTCTTCACGTTAGTCAGTAGATAACACGAAAAAGTAGTCTCTGCTCGCGGGGTAGTGCACATAAGCTTAATAGATTCATTAATTTATGTAAATGAATTTTCACGGTGATAAGTTTCTGTTTTTTACCCTCGGTAGAACTTATAGCACTAATGCTAGTGGGGCCGAGCAAATTCCTGAAACAAATTAATTAAATCAAACATAAACGGTTTAAGAATCCCAACTGGTCGGAGGTCGAATCAGTTGGCTATTTATAAGCGTGGTCGAGGATTTGAACTCGGGACTACTGAGAACAAAATCAGCTAGCGGTCAGGGCGGGACTTAAACGCAGGGCCTCCGAATTGCAATTACAGCGCTCCAATCGCTCGGCCACACTGCCTCCTTGGAATTGGTATCTTCTTCAAAATAAGATAATGATCAGTTTCTATCGTATTTCTGGTAATAGACCCTTTGCAGCCAGTCCTTCACGTGGTACAAACCTGCCACATTGAAGAGCAAGGGACGTCATTTAAAATAGTAATTTTCTTTGTTTGTCTTCTCCCAGTGAGTCTGTTGCTGTCCAGGATGGTGGTTTTGTACCACGTGAAGGACAAGCTACAAAGGGCCCATTACCAGCAAAAGTATTAAGTGAGAGCCCTGCTTTTAGGCTTGGTAAAATTTACGGTTTGGACCGTGTATAAATTCTTACTTCTTAAACCTACAATAGTAGACTATTAAATTCAGCAATGTTTAGCTTCTCGATTGGCTGAGTTCAGCGTTCAACATAGTGAGTTAATAATAATTAATAATTTATTATATATTAGGCGCAAAATAGCATTCAAATATAGGATCTAATGCGCACAAGTTACATCGAGTTACATCGTTCAACAATAGTTCCAAAGAACAACAGTCAACTGTGCAGAAACGTTTTTGTTCTCGAAATGAAAATGCATAGACCATAAACTAAACTGAATAAATTGACTGGATCTGGATAAACTGGTAGATAAATTATGCTAAGATTGGTTGTTTTAAAAAAAGTTTGGACCGCTTAGAGAATGCAGAAGACGCGCCCGGGGGAGGAGCAGGGCTGTCATGTACTTGATATGCGGGAATGTGTTCAGTTTCAACAGGATCAGTCTCACTCTGGAACAGGGTATTAAAGAATAACAATATTTTTCTGAAACATAGTCGTTTATGCCCAGAAACGTCAATTCTTCCAGTCAAGCGTAGATCACTGAGAGAGTTTTGTCTAAAAGAGCGCCACAACTTTTTCTTCCCTGGAACGAGTCGGAAGTCTCTGAGAACCAGTAGGGCTTTCCGCAGGGGTAAGAAATTTAAAACGACTTCCAGGTGGATGGTGGATAAATAATTACACTAAAGAAGTAGAAGAAGAAAGTTGTTATGGTTGTACTTGCTCTACATCAGTTTTTTCTGACAAGATTGGATGAAGGCTTGTGAAACATATTTTGCTAAGAGCGGCTGTTTTTTAAACTGTTTTTTATGTCCTTTGACGTAGTGAGCTCTTATGACAATTTCTGATATGTTCTTAGGTTACTTCATAATTACTTATCGACTTTTAAGGTCAAGTTTACGCTAGTAAAGAGAAGGATTCATAGATGTTTCAGTCGAATCAGAGGGATTAATTCAGATTTCTGGGAAACTGCCCACTTACCCCTCCCGTAACCCAACATTTTTCTCTAAGTGAGAAGTAAGTGTTCATGTTGACTTAGGGGAGGGGTAGGTGGGCAGTTTCCCAGAAACCCAAATTGATCCATCAGAGTTTCGTTGGAAGAAATGTTTACGGCAAAAAAAAACATTGAGGATTTAAAAGTGATAACCCTGCAAGCAGAGGCTACATTTTCGCGCTGTGAGCCTCTTCATTTGGGATTCCCGTATCTGCATGTAAACCAGCCTAGTCACTAGGCATTCTCGGCTCGGTCAATCCTGGACTCTACTGTGAGCTGTGACGTCACCAAGAGATACTCGCCGCTCTCTCCCAGACTTCGCGCGGACAACGGATCAAGAGAGAACGCCTAGGGACTAGGCTTTATGTAAACGACAAAACTAGTCCAGTAACAAAACTTTCCAGATTCATGACGAATTCGGGAAAATCACCCTGTTGTAAACATGTAGCCTAAATGGTATAACGGTGCTTTAGTCAGCGTTATAAATATTCTTTTTGTCCTTCATGATTAGCACCAGGCCCACTCCAGGATACGGCGGTTACATTTCCCGATATCCAGTAAAGCCCAGACCTCCTCAAGGATCTTGGGATGAAGTTTTCGTGAACTTTTCTAAGTTAACTTACAGGTAACTAAAGGGTCCTATTCTTTTAATTCACTGAATTTGGCATTCCACAAATTTAAATGAAAGAAATGTACAGAATTGATATTTATTTTAGTGCCTAGGGTAAGACAGCCGGATCAAGCTCACGTAACTGCTTGAAAACACTACAGTTCGGTACAACCGACAATTTGTTTCAAAGTTGCGAACAATACTTAACTGAAGCGAGGATTATTTTAGTTACTGCACACGGTGCTTCCAACTTCACCTTGAGTGTGTATGAAATAGTTATAGAGACAGACCACTGAAATAAGAGCTACCGAGCAGTACTTTCCCGTGGTACTGTTTATTATGCCGTAGGGTGACCATTCAAATGAAAGCATTAGGAAATTCAGGCATTCTCTTCTAGTCGTAAGTGGCCATATGCTACTGAATTAACTCGAGATATAATAAAATCAGAGTTTCTAAGGTGATAACCACTATTATTCAGTCTGTAAAAATCCGCTATGTACGTACGAAGGTAAACGATACAAATTTGATCGCGTTAAGGCCTATTAAAAGAAAAGGCTTCGAGCGTCGCTTGAAAACTCCTTTGTTTTAGCTCCCTATTAATAACTTACTTTATATTTTGCCTTTTCCTTAATTTTTTGAAATGGTAACTAAACCGTCATGAGTAATGGAGACATTTTGTTTATTTCTTACTTTCTTAACTGCACTCATTCCTTTTTTTGTTTGTTTGTTTGTTTTTTGCACACATTAGATCGTACCCATCCTATGAGTACACCAAGAAGGAATTTGCTCACNTGTTTCAAAGTTGCGAACAATACTTAACTGAAGCGATGATTATTTTAGTTACTGCACACGGTGCTTCCAACTTCACCTTGAGTGTGTATGAAATAGTTATAGAGACAGACCACTGAAATAAGAGCTACCGAGCAGTACTTTCCCGTGGTACTGTTTATTATGCCGTAGGGTGACCATTCAAATGAAAGCATTAGGAAATTCAGACATTCTCTTCTAGTCGTAAGTGGCCATATGCTACTAATTAACTCGAGATATAATAAAATCAGAGTTTCTAAGGTGATAACCACTATTATTCAGTCTGTAAAAATCCGCTATGTACGTACGAAGGTAAACGATACAAATTTGATCGCGTTAAGGCCTATTAAAAGAAAAGGCTTCGAGCGTCGCTTGAAAACTCCTTTGTTTTAGCTCCCTATTAATAACTTACTTTATATTTTGCCTTTTCCTTAATTTTTTGAAATGGTAACTAAACCGTCATGAGTAATGGAGACATTTTGTTTATTTCTTACTTTCTTAACTGCACTCATTCCTTTTTTTGTTTGTTTGTTTGTTTTTTGCACACATTAGATCGTACCCATCCTATGAGTACACCAAGAAGGAATTTGCTCACAAGGGTCCCCTGTGTAGGCTTGTCACTACTACTCACCCCTCCAACCCATTTAACAGTTGACCAATGGAGCTCAAGACCAATCATTCGAAGATTGTGTAGGCATGGTTAAAAGTTTTGTTAGCACAACTCATGTCATAAATTAGCCAAGTTAATATGAAACGTGTAACATATTTGAACAGTTTATTTGATGAATTTAAATAGGGACCATGCCTTGAAAACGATAAAACTATTTAAAAACATAATATTGCTATCAATAGCCTTAGCTATTACAGCTTGTAGCGAGGAAGCGATAACAAGAACTGAGTTATACAAGCGGTATTGTGCTAAAAAGAAACGTCATATTTTTATCAGAAATGTTTCACCTCTGTAAAGAAAGCGGCGTAATAAAGAACACAGATGCGTCAATAATTGTCGAACCGAAACTGACACAAAGAAAATAAAGAAGTATTTGAGGTGTTAACTGGAGCCACCATTTACAGCTAACAAAACTGCGTAATTAAAAGGAAAGTGGTTTTAAGAAAAAGACAACTGATATTAACAAGGCCGTTAAATACAAATGCTGTTAACGTTTATCTCTCTCGGCTAGAATTCCTTTTCACCCTTAATTCCTCTATCGATAACCTTAAAGCATCAGGCTCACAAAAGCTAAATGTTAAATGTTTTTCATTTAAACATGACTTCTCATTTGTGTATGCTGTTGGGTTGTTTACACACTGCACAGCTGAGGAAATATTTATATGCAAGTAAAGAAAACCTCAATCCAGTTAAGAGTTGCCAACTGTTTCGTATAATCGTTTTCTGTGTATACGTTCACAAATTTCTGCTTCTTTTGCCATATCCAGAATATACTGTAACTGCTTCTCTTTCGTGGTCAATTGACCCGGTCTTACGCCTTTTGTTCACTCAGACCGATAAAATGGCAGATTATAATTCAAGCAATGAGTGGAATTTTACTGCAGCAAATAATTACTCCCAACTTGAGGATCAAACAAGATGTTTTAGTTACATCGTATACAGAAAAAGCGCCATTGAAGATTTCTATATCACGTATGTGGTGAGCATTATTTTCAACTCGATTTGTGCAGTGCCAGCATGCTTATTGAACTTACTGGTGATCATAGCGGTGTGGAAAAAACAGCAACTTCATATTCCATCTAATGTCCTTCTCAGTAATCTAGCCTTAACAGACTTTGGAGTGGGATGTATAGTTCAGCCTCTTTTCGTTGCTCATAAAATTGGCGCAATACAGGGGAATATTTCGCTTCATTGCATTGCTTCTCTTGCAAGCAAGACATTGGCATCAGTCCTAGGTGTAGTATCACTGACAACGCTTACTGCTATAAGCATTGATAGGCTTCTAGCGCTGATTCTGAACGTAAGATATCGTATTGTGGTCACTTTACGATTTACTGCTAGGACAGTGGGTGTTCTTTGGATAATAAGCATTATTTTAACACTTCCACTATTTATTTACCCTCTGAGTTTTGTTTATTGCATGGTTCTCTTGGGTGCCATTTGTTTCGCTGTCACCACGTTCGCGTATGCTAAGCTACTGCGTTTGATACAGCGACAGCGATGCAGGGTTCAGACCGATCTTCATGCTGCACAGAACAACCAAGCAACGTCACAAACTCAGATTGCGCAGCACACCCACGGAATAAAATATCAATGCACCAACGATGCACAGCACATGCAACATCCGACTGAAATGATCAACATTGCAAAATATCGCTCTTCAACTCACACTGTTATTTACTTGGTTTTGTTCATGATTATATTTTACTCGCCATATCTTATCAGCAACATTGTTTTGGCCGTAACCAGAACAAGTGATGACCGTTTTAAGGCGGCCTTCAATATCACTCACACCATTCTCTTCATGAATTCACTGTTGAATCCCGTGTTTCACTGCTGGAGAATAAGGAACATTCGTAAGGCCATTTGCGAGATGTTTTCTGACATAATGCCAGAATAAGAACCAGTTGTTCGGTCCCAAACAGTCTGATACTGATAATAAGCCCTTTTGTAGCATCTTTTCCGCAGTGTACAACAGACTAGAATGTTCATCTGTAACCACATATTGCTCGAGAGACCGAGTGTTAGGCCTTTCCTGAGGAAAAGGGAAGTGAGAAACGAGAAGGTGGACACAGCAAAGGGAGAGGGATGTTTGGGCACGACCAAGAGAGAATAATGGTCCGACAGAGACGAAATCTTAGGGCGGTGGCCAGATTATGTGAATTACACTAAAGTTATATTTAAAGGTTGAAATTAAACAGAGGTCTAATTCCTTGGACGTCCGCTTGACATCATCAAGTCTCAATATTTTCTCTTGAAACATCGAATAAAGGTTCACGTACTTTTCCAGAAAGCAACCTCCGATTATTTCCAAACGTTTAATTGATCTAAAAATAACCTTTGACTAAAATTCACTTATCCCAAAAGTTACACTGGGCGCTTCCCTCTCTGTACCATCTCCCGTATGGCAAGGTTCAATGAATACCTTTATGCAGGGCTTTCATTCTTCTTTTTCTTCCTCCCCTCTTCATCCTTTAAAATCTCTCCTCTCCTAACCGTTAAGGAAGACCGGATACTAAAGTTTACACAGTCAACTCACTTTATTGCGGACACTGTAGGGACCTTAAGTTAAGTTGTTGTCCTTATTCACGAGCGAGAATAATAGCGGGAGTTTATTTCAGTCAAACAGCTGTAATTCATTTTTGTCTGGGATGTAGCTGTTTTCCGTATTATCAGGGTGTCCGCAAGGGGAGACTTGAAGAGAGTGTGATATGAAACAAGCCACTAATTCAACGATTATTGGGTACAATGGAACTGGGCCGTACGACCACCCCGTTAAGATGACCACTCCTTTATTGCAATACGACCACTTTTTTGTGGCCCGAACAAAGGTCCATCCATTCTCTTATTTGAAAACCCCGTTAATCCGACCACCCCGTTATTACGACCAACGACCATCTTTTGAAGTCATCAGTCCTTATTTTCGTAATAAAATCACTCTGTTAATACGACCGATAAATTGCCTGATGAAAAAGCTCAATGAAGACAGAAACAATTTGAAAAATAACGCATTAAAATTTTATTCAATGTTTTCCGGCAGTCTTGTGGTTAACATGTTGAATCGATATAACATCCACTGCAAAGGAAATTACAGTCAGTAAAGAGGATGAATGAACAGGCTTCACACCGCTGGGAGAATGGCTTCGCACAAAATGAAACTCACAAGTCAGTGTGGCATTGGGAGAGCTCTGAAAATTATTTTGCCGTCTGGTTTCTGTTCCCTTCCTTTGCTCGCCCTTGCAAGGATTTTATTACCTAGGGGAGGGGTGAGTAACAGCAACAATTATGAGTCTGGAACACTCGAGCATTTAGGCCCAACTATGCTATCTAAGATTCTCAAACAGTCCTTCCTCCTCTCAGCAAACAACCCAATAGACTTTATTAGCGACGAGTTAAATACTTGTGCATGCAAAATAAAAGGATGGAACCGCCTTTCCGATTTTCTACCAAATGCCTACAGTTTACAATTCATTTTGTCTCTGTATCCAGCTTAAATAATTGGAAACAAGAAGTTTTCAGAACAAAGCCTCGACTAAGTACATAATGTTCAATTTTTTAACGAATATATTTAACGCCATTAAACAACGGGTCGAAAAACCGTCGGGCTATTTTTCCGAAAATGCTACAGTTGGGAAAAAACTTGCCAAACTTTCCATGAAAGTCTTTTTAAAACAATTCCTGGTAATCGTGGAGAGTAAGAAGTTTTCTCTATTTCTTGAACATTGTCCCTGAGTGACGTTAATCAATCGGCAGTTGGTTAAGAGATCTTACAGGTCCAACAAACCTGTCAGATCAATTATATAAATTTGTCGAGTTTGTCCCCGAAGAACTAACAGTGTCAAGTTTGTCTTCGCTTCACTGACAAGCAAGAGATATAAAGTGACTTAATAGTGTACACCATTTTCTTCATACTTTCTTCATGTTCAAAGCAGCGAATACACAAGAACACTTATGTCAACTGAACGCCTGCACACATAAGCCAATAAAAAGGCAATGACTGGCTCTTCTTTTTCGAAGCTCAGCATCAAAGCTGTGGACCTGGTATGACCGGAAACGGTAACCAATCACTCCGCGCCACTATTCCGTTTGTATTCCACTCAAGAAAGGGCTGGAGTTCTTGACAAGGAATTTGAATCTATCTCCATGAAAATCCTCATCAAGTATCTCCAACATAGGCGATGCCAAAATAGTCATGACCCTCAGAGTTGAAACATTTATAAGAACAAAGAAGTCCTCGGATTGGAATTATTCCTGGCTTCGTCTTTGTACGTAAGACCTGCAACAATAAAAATCAGAAGATCAAGCCCACTTGTTCTGGTGGTCAAAGTCCTGGACTTTCAAACCGACACTCAAACCAAATCTTTCGAGGTTCAAATCCATACATGCGATTTCTTTGAGTTTTCTCCACCAATTATTCATTGTTCGAGAAGCTCAATGAATCACGAGAAAGAGTTTTTGACGTGGCATCCAAATACATGGACGTTTGCTAATTTTGTAGTCAAACCTCCAAAGCCAAGAGCCTGCATTACAGGCAAGAAGAGGAGAGTTTTGACTATAAAACTCGGCTTCTCCTCGGTTTTCTTATCTTTCTTCCTCAGTAATTTTGGGTAGTGGCAAGACTCTCATGTGACACTCAAAATGTTACAGCTGGTAAAATGAATCGGAAATTTGACGCGAGACAAATGAAAGAGAAAATAAGCTCTATACATCTTTTACAAAAGCTTGTGGCTCAGGACGAATCAAACCGTCGTTACTTACTCTATGGGCGTCCACAAAGTGTACACACTCTAACCATGTATTAAGAAAGGACTGTCCACACACTGCACATTCACTGGCGTACTGTAACATCTCCTGTACCTTGGGAAAGTGACGTATGCTACGTTTCACAAACGAACGCCTGCAGCACAGAATTAAACAACATTTTAGTTCATTTCAGGAAACAAATTTTGGTTATTGCAGGTTCATTATTATTTACGGTAAAAAGGGTTCAAAATTTAAAAATCATTGCACTCCGGCCCAGAGTGAATGACGAAAGCTTTAAGGTGGTTCTAACTTCTGAGTCTGTAAAAGGAATTAAAATTAATGTGACCATTCAAGTACACCTCTTACCGATGACATTTACGAGATGACTTACCTAGATTTTGTCAGTTGTTTTACTGGGCACATTCTGGGAGTGAAAGTGTTAAAAACATATTGTTTTCTTTTATTTTTGAGGAGGGCACAGTAAATGGCTCTTACCCATCTCGAAGTTCTTTTAAAACAAATCTTGCGGTTATTTCCTAAAGAAAGAATATGCATGTAAGTAAAAGGGTTAGAGTTAAAGAAGTAAAGTTAGATAACTGAACAAAACACTACAAACAGTACAATAGCTTATAATACCAGCAATAACAGTACTTTGGGAATCATTTTCAAACAAGAAAACAAGATAACCCACTAAATATTTTCCACATCAGTGACAACTAACGACACATTACTCTACAGAACTGAATATGGCATGTCAAGTTGCTTTAATTTCTGATACAGTGTTCTCAGTCTTACCTTTAATGTTAATACTTCATCTTCTTGTTGAGAGTGAACTGGTATGTGTTGAAGAAGATTGTTTTCCTCACAGTAAAGTTCCTTCAGCGGAAGATGAGCCAGCTGGAGAAATAAAAAAAGAAACAACACACAAATCATGCTAGAAACATCATTACAGCAGCAACAGTCTAAGAGGGAATACTGTGAGAAGTGCAGATTATATAAATAGCTCTTTAATGCATTCTACAACTTTGAAAGTGCATATTGTGGTTTAGTTTTTACCTTGGTTTGAATTTTATTCTGTTCCAAACTGATTATCATACATTATCACGTTCAAAAACAAAGGGTAGTAATTTGACCTTTACTTCTTTCATAGGTTTTCCTGTTCCAAAAATTAATATCAAATCTGATTTCACAGGCCGTGGAACAGTGAAAGAAAAGACTGGGGGAGGGGAGGGGAGGGGGAGTTGAGCTGCCCTAATCTTCCTCTATTACCACACAGTTAAAAAATACATTTTTGCTTTTTTGGGCGGGGCGGGGGCGGGGGCGGGGGCGGGGGGGAATGAACAGGACATGTCCACCTTTAAGTGCATTTGATCATGCTCCATGGAAAATTGCATCAAATGAGTTTTATTAATGGTAATTGTAAATTGCCTTGAAATGTATAATATACTTCTTAACCCATATCTTGATATACTGTAAATACAAAATACAATTAATCTCCTTTGATAAATCTTCTTGAGCAATAAGTTGAAGTAAGAAATGTTTATAGAATGAAATCTAAACCAAAAAGAAAAGCCACACCTCAGCTGGAAATATCCGCAATCTGTTAGCTGACACATCCAGTACTCTGAGCTGCGTGCATTTTGACAAGCCCTGTTAAACAAAACTACATTGAGTTCACTTTTATCTTCACCAATAAAGAGTACAAAGTATCATAACTTCTCAAAATGAATTTACTGAACCGATAACCTCAAGGTTACTACCTATGTTCAGATAGCTGAACCTGTTGTTGGTTGAGCAGCCACAACAACATGGAGCCAGTTACTGCAGGCCCATAGCATTTCCCTCCCCACACAACCCAACAAATGTCGAGCACTGCCCACTAATCCCTTCATTCTGTTTTCACCCTTAGTTTTAAACTTCATGAAGTGTGTGCTTGGAAGGGGGTGGGGTTACCAAGGAAAATCTTTGTACAGGGAGGCTCCACCCAGGGTCTTAAACCCAGATCCAATTTAAAGATGAGACAATCAAATAATATTATTAATACCCTATTTAAGGCACAAACCTGAAAAATGACACAATATAAAAGGCAGGGTTTGAGCTAGGATTTGATCACTGGGGGACAATTTGTCCCCTTGTCTAAAATTTTGGGGGACATTTTCAGTTTTAGGGGGACAGAAATTTGTACACCCTTCTGCTGATGCAAAGGGGTTTGTCTTCTTAGATTTCTGACAAAAATAGCAGAACATCGCCTCCTTTTCATAGCGCAACCACGTGTGATCTCGTAATTTTTTTCGGTTTCCTTCGATCCTCATCAGTTTCTTCCTGATTAATACACTGTTCTTCTTCTGTATCATTTTTCTCTGATTCACTCTGGCTTTGATTTGGAGCGAAAAAGCTTCCTAATGTTCGAACACGTTGTCGATGTGACATGTTAACGATTGCCAGGCGCGTTCACCACGCTTGGTTGAGCATGAGACGTACGTGTTCAGTAGAGCGTGACTGAAACGCGACTTAAGAATGAACTTTAAAGGAGCTGTGTCACGAAATTCAGCCAAATTAGGAAATTACAAAATAAATGCCTGTTATTTTAAGAGAAACATAAAATAACCCCTGAAAACTTTAAAAGGAAGGTTAAAATAACATAACAGAAACAAAAGATGTCATGGATGGGCAAAACTGAAGTAGATTGAAACGGATTGAAATTACCATTTTTTTAAAACTGTGCAGCCTAACAGTTTTTCAAAGTTGATCCCTGCTGCTTCAAAAATAATGCTCAGGAGACATATTTGTTTGTCTCGGATCTCTGATTTTGTCATTTACATGTGATTTCTCTGCTTACTTTAAGTTCCACAGCGATTGAAGGCGAGTAATTGGCAAAATTAAACAAAATGAACGGGACTGCCATGACACAGCCCCTTTAAACGTGCGATAAAATATACTTTCCATGTTCTGTTTTAGCTTGAAACTTCTGTACTGAAATAAATCTCTTCGTGTGTGCTTCCTTTCGAGTTTTTTCCCCTAAATTTTGAAGGGGACAAATTGTCCCCTTGGCCATTTTTTTAAGGGACAATTTCAATTGCAGTGCGAGATTGGCGCAATGGCGCAGCCTGGCTCAAACCCTGTAAAAGGGAAGAACAAAAACTAACTAACCCACAAACCTTCAATAAATCGCTTTCCCAATGCTGTAAGAAATAATCCAGTTTAGACAAAAAATTTGTCTCTTGTGTAGCTGGGCATTTACACACTTGAATTTTAGGAGATACATTTTAGGTAACCCTTAGGTATCTTATCTTAGGATCACACTGGGAAGGCAATGCCAACAAGGGCAAATTTTAAACTTTCTAAAATGGCCTATATGGGGAGGCTCCACCCAAAATGGGTACCTTTTTCAGGATTCAAGTATATGAAAGGGTAGGGATTTTACTCTTTAAGTATATTGGAAGGGCAGGAAAATCTGTCATTTTGGTTGGTAAAAAGGCTCAAAAAGGTAAACAGATACATTTTATGGCTGTGAAAAAGTTGACAAAATGTTCTGATTTGTGATTTGTTCATTTTTTAATGTCAGTGCATTAACAGCAGTTAAAAGGGATAGGAATGGAACTTGTAAACTAGGTATCCGGAAGGGGTACCAGTATACTGACATTAAACTAAGTCTAACTCCAAACATTACAAGCACAAACCAATGTGCACTAACAACAAGAAAAAAAGTATATTGATATAAGATGCGGGGCATAGCCAGAAATTAGATACCTAACTGGTTCTCATAATACAGCATGAGATACAGGAAAGAAGATTAATGCCACTATGACTATAAAAAAAAGATATTGAATGGAATTGGGTAATGAGTAACACCTCACCTCTGGCAACTCTTCAATCAAGTTTTTGTACACATAGAGCTTTGTAAGATTCCTTAGAAATGCCATATCTTCTGGAAGGCTGTAATTCATTAAAACATAAAGCACATTTCCAGAGTCAAATGCAATTTAGAGGGCTACATCACTATAACTTGGCTTCGTCTATTGTCACATGCCTAGAGTGTCTAAATTTACCTTGAAATTTGATTGTCAGCAAGATGTAACTCTGCAAGATTGATCAAATGACAGATCTCGGTGGGAACACTATGCAGTTGATTATGATCCACACTGAGAAACTGTAATGACACCAGTCTGAAATTTACCAAAAATAACCAAAATATCATTATGAAAAATTTTGTGCCAAAGATAGGCAAACACAAAGCTCAAGAAGTTACCACGTATTTCAAATTTGGGGGAGGGTGCTTCTTGAGGAAAATATTCAATTTCTTCAGACTGATAATATTGTTCTCTTACTTTAATAGTGAAAGATGAAATTACAGATCACTGATGTTACTCAGAGAAAGCAAAATATAATGATGACCTCGCTCTGACTCTCAGTACCTGTTTATTTCTCTAGGTAGTGATTGTAGCTGATTTCCATTCAGATTAAGAAATGTTAACTTCTGAAGTCCACCTAGAGATCACAATATTAGAATGAGGGAATTTTTCAGCCTTGTTATCTACCAAATATAGGATAAAACGAAAATGAAAAAAGAATCAAGCTGCTACTTTAGTTTACTAGCCCAGATCTCTGAAGTGCTAGCCAAAAAGTAAATTTATTACTGAAATAATCAAATTTAATCATCTTTTAGCACAAACCTCATATAATTCCAAAAGATCATGTCCAGTTATCATGTATAACATCAATTGATAATCCTGAAAAACTTACCCCAGTCCACAGAACCTTCCAATAGACTGGGTCTGTGAATGACAGTTCTAAAATTAACCTGTGTTCAGGCGGTCCTTCTTTCTTTTTGTATGAGAGACAAGGAGAAAGGGATGCATGATACATTTACTGTACACATCACTTCCAGTAAAACACACATTTCTGTTCTTCCACTATTAATATTGTTTTCAATGGCTGTACAGTATTTACACTAGAGATGGATTATCTGTATGAGATGGGTTATCTGTTGGATAATTCGCGTCAGACAAATAATACGTCTCAATTTGAAAATGGAATAGTCTTAATTTTGTCAGACAATCCGCCTGACATTATCTATCTGTTGTTAGGTCAATTTCGACGGATTTTGAAGATAGATTATCTGTCTCTAGTGTGAAAACGGCAAATGATAAGGCAAGATTAACAATAACAGCAGTGCAAATTGGTCTTTAAAATCTGTGATGTTTTTGCTAACGACTTCCTACTGTATCAACTTAGCATTTACTGCTTGCCTGGAAAGTAGAATGATACATTCTGATCAATTTTTATTGCTAACTGCTTGAATTTGTGGAAAAATCTGACATGAAATGTTGATAGATGCCTTAATTAGGGATGACAGATGACTGGTGAAGTAAATGCATAAAGTGTTCTTTTTTCCACTTTCCCAGAAAAAAATTATAATGCCTGATTGCAGGTTATTCTAAAATAAAGGTCACACATTCTTCAGCTCAGAGTTTAAGTCAGCATGCTACTTGACCTATAGCCTGCTCCAGGCTCCAAGATAGTGGAGACAACGGATCGAAAAAAAGCATAAAAAAATGTGTGAAAGCTAGGGAGAGAGGGTGAACGAGAGCCTGGCACAAGCTACTTGACCTGTGGAATGTATCCTGTACTTAAGACCCGCTGGTCCATGGACCACTCCACAAACTGGTCCATAGACTATCCCTTACCCACCCCATCTGTGGACCACCCATTAGAGAGTCCCAAAATAGACTAAGAAATGAAAGTAAGGAAAAAATGACCTTACACTCGGTCTTCTACTTTCTTTACTTTTCCTTTCATACACTCCTTAAAAATTAATTCTGAAAATCCTACTTGGGGGAGCTGATGAATGTATTGCACTGGTCTCAAGTCCTTTACTCACTTAAAACCACAGAGTTGAGTTTCTTTAACTGGTTATTGAAGAGATGTAATCTCTGTAAACCAGACAGGAAGGATAGAACTTGTGGAAGATCTTCAAACTTGTTGTTTCCAAAGTTAAGAGATTCCAGCTTAAAAGAAAACAAAACTGTTTTAAATTACTTCAACTGTTATGTTTACATTTAGGGCATTTTAAACAAGCTGTCACCTGTTTAAGCGAGGAAAATTCTGGAGGAAGATCTGTTAAAAAATTGTTCTTTAAGTCCACATTTTTTAAAGACGTCAATTTTCCAATTAATGGTGGAACACTTCTTAGTTCTTTGTTACAAATACTCAAAGCTTTAGGTTTCCCTTTCGTGGCATTAAGCAAAATCCTATCCGCCATTTCGTTTCCATGTGAGTACTGCTCGCAGGCTCAAGCGCTCCCCCCAGGCCCCCAAAGCTTTTCTGACAAGACTCCGGCAAGACTCCTGACAAAAACAGCAGTTTGATGGAGGTTGTGTTCTAAACATGAGTGGTGTTTCCTTTGTGTCTGAGGCCGAACTTGACGAAATACGTGATAAAAGACAGAAAGAGTGGGAGAAAGTAAGAAAAGAAGATGATCCTCTTGGTAAGTGCTAAGTCGTTATTTAACTTTATTGGCAAAAGATGCAATTGTAAACAAAGTGTGCACAGACTTCCTCTCTGAAATAAATCCTATTTTGAACTGCAGATGAAGATCTGAAAGTGAACATGATCTTTAGAATGAACAACCTAAGCAGTTGAAAAAGAACCTGAAAATATTCAGGCTTGACCAAGACGAGAGCGTTTCGTTTGGTCATTGCAAAGGTCTGAGTTCCTGGTCGAGCCTGTTTTTTCAGGTACTTTTCCAACGACTTAGGGTGTTCATTCTACTGTGTAGATCATGTTCATTTGCAAAGTAAACTCTCTCTTAAAAGATGTCTCTATAAGACAGACATTTCCCTCAAACAAACACCTAGAGTTGACTCCCAGTAAGATGAACAACCACGTAGTGTCAGTACCAAAGTTGTCCATGTGGGGGAGAGTTGACTATATTTATAGTCAGTTTGAAATAGTGCAGTTCATCACATAAATATTGCTCCTCTAGCTCTTTTTGCATTTGAGTCAAAACTGAGCACCTTTGATCACCTGTCAAAGGGAATGGCCATTTAAGAATAAAATGAGCCTTCGGGGTACAAAAACCAATGTTATTGCCCGTTTCCGATCCACATGTAAAGGCATATATGCACTTAAATTGGCATGCAGTTGCAGTGGCCCCAGTAAAGTATTTTATGCTATGAGCATGTGAAAACAGACACGTTTATGTTTTTTTTTTGCCAGAGTGTCCTGAACAAGTCCATGACAATAAGACTCTTTATGAGCGATTACAGGAACAGAAACAGAAAAAGCAAGATGAATGGGATGAACAGCATCAGCTGAGTATGTATAGAGGGGGGTAAAGGGGTTATTGCGTGATACATGATTAAGTGTTTTTAATTTTCGTGAAAGGTGAAAATAGGAAATTAAAACCTGTGAACTGTAACTTTTTTGCTTGTCGTGATACATGATACATGAACTTTAAAATCTTTTACCCGATATTCGTGACTTTTAACTAATTTTTTCGTGAAATAGTCTCAACTGAAGACAAATTCTACACGGACGCCAGTGGACCTTTAAATGAACTTTTCTGAAAGGTCTTAAAAAACTCAAAGGCCAGTTATTTAAACGAAGGTTAGCCAGTGGTTGACAAAACTGTGTTCTAAGCCATTTTCAAATTTTTTTAATGCTTTTATCTTAACACCGGTTATGGTGAACGTTTCATGGCAGCAACAGGGTAGACTAGGGTCGTATAGGTCCCCATATGGTACAATGTATACAATTTCCCCCTGACCCATTTAGCTTCAGGTTAATGTTAATAAACTGGTAAGCAACAATATCAGCAAAGATAGATCTTTCCAGCGATACCTCATTTTGGGATATTCTGACTAACCCTGACAGAGTTACACTCACAAAAAAAGGTAAAAAATTTTGGGGTAAATTCCACTGCCAATTTCGCTGTTTACATACTACTCCTTGAAAATTAAATTCATCCCTTTCCTAAAAAATTAGTCAGCCACAATTCCATGTAAAAGAAAGACGATAAAGTGGGCAACAAAACCGCCAATAAAGAAGGTAAAAAAGAGAGCGACTGTGACCGGCTTTTTAACCCCGCTGCTGTTGCTGCTATCCCCTAGAGATGTTCATGATTGTATTAATCACTGGTATTTCCTTTCAGAAAACATGATACGAGGTCTTGATAGTGATGAAACACTATTCCTTGACCTGGTTTCTAAACAGCAAGAAGAAATAGCCAGTCGGAGATTTAATGAAGAGACTCAGGAAATAAGAGAATATAGGGTATGTTAGCAGCTATCACTGAATTTGGAACCGTTAGGATTTTCTCTTTACCCCATCCATTTGTTTCTTTGTCTAGTTGTACCTCCGTTACTATAATTATTTAGCATCTGGGTGAGTTGTTTGACAAAGTCAATCGATCGCACGAACATAATTTCATTCTCCTTACATTAGTGTACCAAAACAGTGAAGTGGTGTCCATATTGGTGTACCAAGCCAATCTACTAGGATTTGAACTCTTTCGTTATATAAACACTTTAATTATTTTGTTCTAATGAATTTGCATAGCTACTGCTCATGTGTCAGAGTGAAGTGCTCTATGGGTAAAATTCTTAACCAATCTTATATGTGTATTCCATGTGTGAGAAATAAATCTCCAAACTGAATTAAGACAAAATCATTACAAATTCTGCAATTTTTCTTCGGTCTGCAGGATGCAGTTTCTCAGTTTCAAAGTACAGCAGCTGTGCCTGCAGACATCAAACTGCCTGGGTCAGCAGTATTAAATAGGAAATCTTCACAGGAGTCTGGCACCAAAAAATCCCAGTTACAACTAATTGCAGGAGCAATAAAAAGGAAAGGGTAGGTTTGACCTGCATTTATAGTTTGAAAGACAATTTACAAATGAGTGAATGGGTAAGGCTCAAAAGAATTAGAAACTGTCTTGCTGCATCAGTGTAGAAGTGGAACAAAAAAAATTAGTTTTGTTTAAACTGAGTTGAAAAATAAATTCCCTGCAGCAGGGAAAAAGTTAATTTTGGCTGGACTACCACAAAAAGGGTCAAAAGGTGACATTTCAAGTCTTAGTCCAGCCATTTGAGTTTGTTGCCATAGGACACCTAATAGACCTATTCGGCTAACTCAATGTTGTACCCAATTCAAAACCTGTGGGAATAAAACGTTTTGTTTCAGGAATTTCCATAGCATTTAAATGTGAATGCCACATTATAATGCAAATACAATACACAAAGAATCTTAACCCCGACAGATTTGAATTGGGTACAACACTGAGTTAATCTAATAGGTCTATCTCTTGTTATTTTGTAGGATTTTGTCAGAGCAAATAGAGCACTTATGTGGGTGTGTGGAAACAACATAACATGAAAACAAAAGTAGGGGATGTGGAAGAAGAGTATAGATCTACTGATTCTGTGGGGATTTGAACTACCACTTTATAATATTTAAGACTCTTTTAGACTATGAGCAGTCTCTCTTTTTTCTTAGTCTGTCGAGCCAAAATGTGGAAGGTAAGTGACCACAAGCATGTGCACTCCCTTCACTAAATCTGATGAAAAGGAGAGACTGCTCACAGTGTAATACTCTTTATAAGGAAAGACCACAGACTGTCACATTTTGCATATATATATATATATAATTATTCTTACGATTTGTGATAGTCATGGCACAGCTAATAATAAGGAAACATGCTCTTTGTTCTGAAAATGTCTTGTTGTTTGTAAAAGTGACAATAGAAATGTTTCTTTTTTTATATGATGGAACACAAAGTAAGGAATGGATGAATAGATTTTAAAAGGGATGTAACAAGGAAAAAAACTCAGGGTGCATTCACTTACCATGGCTTTGAAGCAATATATTATAAATTGCTCTTTGAAACGTTTTTTTTACCTCTTAACTCAAGCATGTTGTCCAATGGGCAAGAGTGTGTCACTTAACTGATCCTAGGGCAAATCAAAACTCACTCACATGTGATCAGGTCATGTACCTTGAAGTCCCAGGAAATCCATGTGACTCTAGAGGAACACCAAGTTTGTTTTTTTTCTTGATCCCCAATGTTCTCTCACGGAAGCCTTGAGGATCTCAGAGAAACAAACTTGCTGTCTGCCTTGGAACCATCAATTATCTGCTTTTTGATTATCAGCCTTTAACTAAGCCATTATGTCTGACCAAAACCTCACCTTCCAGCTATCTTGCTAAATTTTTGTCAGTTTTTTCCTCGCAGTTGAAAATCATCTATTCTTGCTGATCTGATGAACATTGAAAGAACATAATTGAAGTAGCTTATGATATAGTTTAGTTTTTCTTTTCTTTGAAAAGAGGATTCCATCTTAGGAGAAGATAGGGAAATATGGCTGTATGTTTTTTACATGGTTGCTTTCAGGAAAGATCAAGGTATCATGTGTGTCATGCATTAATGTGACCTAAACATCTCTTCTACTTTTTATAGCAACAGCGAGAAGACATCCCCACAAAAGAGAACAAAAGTTTGTGAGGAGGTTAAAGAAAGTAAGTTGGCTTTTACTGCCTACGGTACTTGTTAGGGTTAATGTGCAGCAGACGTCACTGTTTTTCTAGCTCTTCCCCCTCCCCATCACCTAAAGGTTGTAATTGGACACAAGAGACCGGACTTAACATCAGTAGTTTAAAGTGTGGCACTGTTATGTTTCACATGTTATTTCAAGCTGTGAAGCATAATTCCCCTTTAACTCACAGGTACGTTGTACTCTTTGCTATCTTCGCCATTCAGCTGAAACGAACTCAACATGAAATATGAATGTGCCAACATGTACACAGCCTGCTTCTCTGCTCTCGCCGGAAGGGTGACTGTGAAATCCCCGTTTCCGAGAGTTAAAGTTTTAATACTTGTCTTGCCCCGCTTTCGGGTTGTAGACGTCCAGTGCTTTTCACAACAGAAACTGTAACCCTACACTTCGGTGGGCAGTAAAGAGTTGGTAATTTAAGTAAAAGATCATCATTTCACAGGGGCACCCAACGACTATTTTCTGTAAAATATCTGTTCGGAGAAGCAAATATTGTCTAGAATTTTCCATTACTTGAGGACGGCTAAAAATTTCTAGATGACCGTTCCATTTGTATACAGTTTTAAGAGCGTTTCTAATAAATTCCCAACGTTTTCCTGAGGTTTAATTGTTCACATTCAGTTCACTGCCCAGGTTAGGCTATTTTTCGTACAAAAAAGGAGACCTAAAATTTTCGGATTAAAAAATGTGATGGAGAGGGTAATCGGAGAAATTATCTCCGTCGTACAACGTAATACGTTAAATTGCATCTAAAATTTTCGGGAAAATAACACTGAAGATTTTGTAATTTCGAAAGGACTCAGGTTCCCCTAGGATAACCGAACAGATACAAAATTAATCTTAAAGCGTCGTTTAGAATGCATTTTTAGAGATCTAAAAGTACTCCGGATAGCCTAAAAAGTGTTTTCAATGTCTTTTGGAGGAAGCCGTCGTTGGGTGCCCCTGATTACAGGAGTTGACCTGAGGGCGGTTACTCTCTCCATGATGTTAGTCATAAGAATAAATTATTTTAAAACTTTTATTGCATTGCAGCGGTTGCTCATTGTATTTAATTACTCGTTTCAATGTTTGACATACTTTAATGTTTTTCAAATCATACAGCTGTCGGCAAAAATCAGGAGAACGAAAATGTATCAGCCACGCAACGACACACAAGTTTAGTTGAAAATAAAACCATGGATCAACTTCCTGGCAATGAAACTAAAACTGAATCAGAGCAAAATCAAGCAGGGGAGCAAAGACCGGTTATTCCTGGTCTTGGGATATATTCAGATTCAAGTGACTCAGAGACATCTGATGAATGATGCTGTATTCTGTTTCGCTTTGAACAATAATTCAACAATCTCTACCCTTGCAGAGCATAGTGTGGATAAGCTTCCTCCTGAAGTTTTCACCAAATTCTCAGTGCTGACTTTTAACGACGTAAATCATATGTATCGAATTTTACTCTTTGTCGTTCGTTGCTGAGCAAGGGCCTACCGCTGCAAGCTGAGGGACAGGTTTCTTAAAGAAGAAGACATCTTAGTCCAGCAGCGACTTAATTTAGAATGAAGCACCTTTGAAGTGAGCTGGATAGCTCACTTACTTTTTATATGTTTCTTTTTTACGAAAAAGCGTCCTTTTATAAGGGTGATGACTCAACAGGGCGTTAAATCAGTATAGATGCATACCAGGAAAGCTATAAGAAAGAGACGCATTCAGATTCGACGGTCTAAACTAAGAAATGACAACTTGTTAAGCTCAAAATTAAAAAAGTAGATTTCTTCGGAAAAACTAAGGGTATTTGTCTATATAAACCAAGTGTAGTGAGTCTGTCAGTAAGCTACAAATTTTAAAAGGATCACTGCTGCTGCTGAATCTAGACCGTAAAGGGCAGCGCTTCTAGGTAATAAGGCTGTAGCAATATTTTTGTAAATCTTGTCGTCGTCGTAATTTGGCCGTTCGGCAATTGCCAAGGGCGTAGTTGCGATGCAAGCTTTGTCAGAGCATAGGTCAAGTGACTTAACCCAGTAACGAATTCCATCAAAGGCTGTTAAAGAGAGTGTTCCTCGTTTCATGTTTGAAGCAAATTCGTTGAAAATGTGGTCGAAATTGATATCCACTAAGACGGCATGAACAATACCAAGGGCTGGTTTGTCTACAACAGCTAGAATGATATCCAGGCTTCCAGAAATAAGACTCGATTCTTCAACAGGAAATGCCAACCAACCAATGAACTTTGTGTTCCAGTTAAGGCTTTTGACAATACTCGCACCGATCTTGTCCACAAGTCTGTTTCTATTGTCGCCGTATGGGAAGGCGACGGAACCGTTGTCGAACCTTGAAATCATTATGTTAACAATCCGCATGTTTCCTTTAAGTGCTTGCTCAAAGCACTGGCTAATACTCTGAGCACCACAGTCAATCCCTATATTCCACATTGCTCGGATGGACTCCCATGCTGTGTCCAGTCCACCATCGAAAGACTCTCTGATGGTCCAAAAGATTTTGAAGTAGTCGTTGCAGTTCAGGTTGCATATTGACGTTTGTTGATTGTCGGGTTTCAAGAAGCATGACGTATGAGAGTTCAATGCCTTACGTCTGATATCTTGACATGTTGGCTTGACCCATGGTCGGAGAAGCGGTACAAGAGAACTCTGCAGGCATTTACGAGCATTGTTCATCCAGTTCTGCCCAGTGTAACTGTATGTACTGTAATGTGCTTTGTATACTGCACAAAAGATATGGGCATATTTTACTGCGTAGGCTGTGCTTGATGCTTTGCATGGATACTTCTTTTTGAGGCAGTTATTAAACCAGTCGCAATCAGACCCCGATGGAATGTAACACGCAGAAGATAAAGTTGCCGTGGGCGAAATCGTAGTTACAGGTGACAGGGTGCAAGAACAATCAAGTGTTACAAATCCCGATGCCTTGTTGCGATTCTCAAGCATGCACGGGTACCAGCAATATGTATCGGAAGGGTTCGAGCAAGATTGCTTATAGTGGGACTGTTGTTTGATATAGGCATCTGTGGTGCACGTTGCCCATTGATAGCGATTGTACGCTGGTAATTTGACGCACGCCGTGGTACCTGATGGACCTGAAAAAGCATTGCACTGTGCAGCACCCAAAGTTTGTTTTGTAAAGAGCAAAGGCAAAACCACTGATAACAGCAACATGTCTGATTCGTCACCTTCTGTGAAGACAAAAGATTGGTTTGAAATCGGTAAACGTACCCAGGTTTGAAAATGATACTTTGAGTCGAGCGAGAATTTTATGGGCGTGGGTATGGTAGGGGGCGCAAACTTAGCAACCGCCGCACAAATGTCTGTAAAATTTCGCGACTTTGCAGAGGTATATCTTCGTTACTTTTCAACAAATCACTTTCAAACTTGGCATCGTCGCTCAGGATTTTGAGGTATTTTCAGCGGGTCGACACATTTTCGCTAACTGGTCCATGTCTTAAATTAAAAACACTAAAAGGGTCTACTTAACGCCGCAAAAGGAGGCGCAACCGACCGGCACCCCACCCGACCAGCGCCCCACCCGACCGGCACACCAATCGACCAGTCATTCAACTGTCAAAAAAGAGTTGATCAGCGTTTTTTCAAAAAAGAAAGCAATTTCAACCCTGGTGTTCATTGCTGATTTCAGTTGTCATTTCATAATTCCACTCGCATCTTTTTTAAGGGCTGTTGATATTGTAGTTTTAAAGAGTCAGTGTCTTGCCTTAATTTTTTATCAAAGTCTGGGGGGCAGAACTTTGCCATCCGTGGACGATGTGACGCTTATTTCACGCAACAGTAGAGCTGGATTTTTCTTTTCCTCTGGTCTTTCTTTTGATAAACTTTGATCACATTTGACGCTATGTAAACTTCTACGTAACCAGACTCTCAAAGGCGGTGTAATGCTAACGGTTAGCATTTCACCACCTTAACTGCCATTATATTAAGGACTTGGGCTTTTTTTTCCTTTATTTTCAAATCAGTTGCCTGGGTGGTTTGAATTTCAGACGTCCGTCAAGTCGCACACCCATTTCGGCTTAAGTTGACTCTTAAAGCACTTCGCGCTAAGCAGTGCCCTTCATATTTAAACTTAGGGCCTATTTACGTGGAGGTGGGGAACACCATATAGGTGAGGTAACATGCGGCGGGTCACCCCACCTATCATGTAAACGTGATCAAATTAAAATGAGATTGCATGGACAGGCGGGTTACCCCACCTACCTGGGGTCTCCCACCTCCATGTAAACAGGCCCTTACAGAGAGTCTCTATATGCAGAAGTTTGCGCACTTCGGGTTCTAAAGATGGCCGGGAAATGTTCGGTGGGAATATATGCTCTTGTACAATGTAAACTATTGGGCACATTCCATTCAACCCAAAATTCCGGAAATTTCGGTTGGTACATCAAATGGAACGGACCATTTTGGTCTGGTCTGACCGTAATATTCGAGACCAGCTTCGAAAGTGGTCCACTTTAACAGGTCCGGTTATTTCAATCGGTCGGACCGAATTGACAAAATTGTTGTCCCCAGTACTGCTCTTTTGTATCCTTCTTACAATAACAATAACCATGTCTAATGTCCCGGTGGCTTGGGTCGGGTCTGTTCAACCGGAATGTATGTTCCATTGGGCACGAGGAATTTCCGAAATTTCTAACCGGTTTTTTTTTTTTGTTGCATGGAAGCGCCCGTAATTTGATACATGAAGAAAAACATGCGGCATGTTCATACCGTACGGCACACCAAAGGTTGTCACTCGGTGTGTACGAGAATGAAAAGAATTTTGTTTGCTAGTGTAAGCCAACATAACAAGTAGAGCCTTTTGGGTTCCCGAGTTTTCTTCGTGTAAACCGTTGAACCTACTGCGAGTGAAAATGTTTTGGCCTCTTACCAACCATGTCCTGGGTATGTGTAGTCTGTTCACAGACAATCTATTTTCCCTTTAGAAATCGTAGGGCGCATGTTAGGAAAAAGCGTAAGGGGTGGTGGTGGGTTCCCAGCGTTGTTCAGGGGAGTTTACACTCTGGTGTATGGTTTCCCGTTAGTTCCATCTGAAGAGTACAACAGTTACCCTATTAATGGTAGTTATTTCGTTGCAACAACATGTAACACGATTTACTATCAACTTTCTAATCGCATTTAAACTCTTGCTCTTACAGCCTCCGCCCAGGCACTGGTGTTTTTTTTGGAACCAAAATAAGTAAGTAATCGGTTTATTAACAGGGTTTCCACATTGTGGCTCTTCACGTGTTACTAACGAGAAAATTAAAATTTGTACCAAATATTTACAATAAAAATATACTAAAATACACAACAAATAACGATTAAAAGAGAGAGAAAATATTTACAATGAGCGTATGAATAAAACTTAAAGTACAATTAAGATAAGCTGGCCTGAGCCCGGTTCTTTAAGAATTTAAAAAATGCGCGAAGTAAATATATAGAAATCGCCCCTCTTTTTAAGATCAGGGCAACCGCGGTGTCCTTGAATGTTCCTTTTACCGGGGGCACTAAAAAAAATCATCACGATCAACAAAAGAACTTCCCTATATAATAGTAACGGTAAATACCTTGGCAGAACTGCTTTAGTTAGGGGCAATAAACCAGTTACAATAATGAAACTTTAAGCACTATTATCGCCGCCATTTCCTGCAAGTGACTACGTCTCTGAGCCCACAGCGATGAAAACTGTCGAAAGAAAAAGCCATGAAAAAAAGACGCGAAAAAAAAATTCTCGAAATCTGAAAGTGAGAGTGTAAATTTGCATTGCCTTTACGGGGCTCCGTATTATCGTGTTGTCAACCTAAACCCACCACAGCATGCCCAATCGTATAAATGCAAAACTTGGCTTTGCAACTAAAAAAGAAAACTTAACGAAGGTAAAATACCTCACTAAAAGGTACGTAATGTCGCTCGAATCGCTGACAGAAGACCGCACAGAAAATAGATTGAAAAGTCTACCAGATAACATAACGTACACATTAATGAAGAATTTTTAGTACTCGTTTAATTTTATTCATTCTGAGTTATATTCCCGCTTATATTACGCTTGGGTCACCCGTGTTGAAGGCATCAGGTGTGTCCTAAGTTCGCTGCGATATTTGCAGTTTAAAGAAAACTAATCATGTCAGCGGCTTGTTGGTTAACACATCGGGCGTTGCAAAAAAACTGAAACTCAGACGTAAATACTAACGTCTTCCGTCAGAATCCAGAGTTTTACTAGACTAAAGACGTTTGTATTTGCCTTTACATCTAACGTTAAGATTGATGCGACTCAGTCCCCTGTACATCCTCGGAGACCCAGGGGCAGATAGTGGGGG